TTTTGCTTAAAGTAAAATTTGGCTACCTTACTGCAGTCCACCTTCGTGTTGAACGATCTGTCCCCGCTCCTTGGCAGGACGCTGAAGGACGGGCTTGGGACGCCCGCGCCCGCGGAGGCTGTGCTCCTCGCCCTGCTGGAGGAGGAGCTGCGGGCGTACCGGGGCGTGGCGGGCGACACGGCGCAGGAGCGCTACAACACCCTGTGCGACCTGCTCGAGATCTGCCACGAGGGCAGCCCGCGGGCGCACGACCGCGCCGCGTACCTCTGCGAGCTCGCGCAGGTCCTCTGCTACCACGACCTGGCCGACCAGACGGACTGGTGAGCGTCTGGGGGGAGGGGGGCTTTGGCGATTGACTCGGGGTCGGGAGTCAGATCCAAGGGAGGGCCAAGTCCTCAGATCATCCTCACTTCTCTTGTCAAAGGAAGGCAAACTGTTGCATTTCTACATGTGTATGAATAGGTAGATAGATACTTTATTGATCCCGTGAGGGAAATTGCAGTGCAACAGCAGCTTAACACACACAACACAGCCACAGTGTAACAAATTATATAATAATAGTACAATACATACCATACAATGCAAGAGTTACTCACAGTCCGGACACACAAGAACAAACTAGAACAGAATGGTGGTTTTCAAACTGGGGAAAAAAGTCCCATTTTGCTGCACACTTGCACAAGTGTATCTTGGCACTCTGCTTGAATTTGGCAGGTTTGAGGTTTCTCCCACATGCCCTACATCCTCTGTTTACTGAATCAGTTTTGTTTCAAGGTCCAGAATCCTATCCCATGAACAGCTTGTCGGCACTTGACTGTCCAAATTAATTGAAACAGTAGCTCCCTTTCCTACCACTAGAGGCCGCCACAGCTTGTCAAACCTTGAGCTTCCCTTTAAACCAGGAGCTGTGGCACTCCTGATTGTGGAGAGCCACAGGACCTGGAAACAATTGTAATTCAATTAACTCATTAATTGATTAATAATTAACATGATAATAGCACGCAGGAGTCCCTGTAGCTCTCTTTGACCACAGATGTGTCCAACTGGACAGTCGTTATATAGGTGTGTTTCAGGTTGAAAGCAAGATATAAAATGGGATAGTGCACACATGCAGGGTATATTGTTTTCAGCTGCCTGAGACGGGCAAATTTCTTGACATTGGAGACATTTGCAATGGGCAAGTGACGGCTGGAACTCCATTCTTGATTGCAGGCCATGTATGCAATTTTTAGCCCTCATTTTGAATGGCAGCACTTTTTCTCAGGTTTTCAAGGGAATTTATAATCCCCACTGAGTAAAGACCTGGAGGCAGGTACAGGCACTTGGCAGACCAGTTAAGTGAACAATGGGTTCATATCAAGTTAAGACTCCAGGATGGAATAAAAACTGGGAGATACAGTGGCCCTGCAGGGCCAGGAGCGAAGGTCAGTGGACAAGAGTGTCTGAAAGTTTAATTTCTGTTTTGTTTGATGGCTTTGTATGGGTCGTTCTGCAGCTCGGCCATGGATGCCATCCAGGAGTCCCTGAGGCTGCTGGAGCAGCAGCCCGAGACCCCAGAGAACAGGGACCGGCTGCGGGACAACCGGGCGCAGGCCTCCCTCTGGCTCTACATCTGCACTCTGGAGAAGAACCTGCAAGAGGTGGGCTCTGCAGCTCTACCACGGCCTCCCCCTGTCTGTCTGCCCGCCCTTTCTGATGGAAAAAGCCCCCCCCGTCTCCCTGTCTACCCTTTTGGATGGAAAAAGACACCCTGTAAACACTCCCCCCTCCTCATTCAACGCTTCCTGTTGCCTTCTGGCAGCCTGGAGCTCTTTGCTTCATTCCTTATATAGCCATGCCTCTGCTGTGGACCTGGTAGCCTCTTTGTTGAAATGGTCTCTGTCGGCCCCGGGACCTGTGATCTGTACTACAGCTGTGTGCAGAAGTTTCATGTGGTGTGTTTCAGTGAGTCTCTAAGTGAAAAGAGGTTTGACACACCCTCGACTACGCGATGCAAGTTTCAACAGGGCGCCTTTCTGCAAATTATAATGCACAATTAAAACCTTTGCGCACAGCTGTATATAAACATCTGTGCGGCTGTGAGTGTGCTGACGGGTGTTATCCATCGGTGTCTACGTGTGTACTTACTTGGTGTTTCACTGTGGCCCTCCTGTCTCTCCCGCCTTATTAAATCCCTGCTCAGGCGCTGGAGACGGACCAGAGGTTACGCGCGGCACAGGAGCAGGCGGGAGAGAATTGCGCCGGGACCCCCAGCCCCAATGACCTGGACTACGAGGACCAGCAGCAGGACAGCCAGCTCGTCTACGAGGGCCTGCGCTTCAACCTGGTGGCCGAGAGCGGTGAGCTGGGGGACGCCTGCTGGCCAGCCCCCCACAGCATCCCTTTTAGAGCCACTGAAGTCCCCAAGAGCTGGGGAAACTTACTCTTTAAAGCACTGTCAAATTCTAAAAAAATGATTTTTTTGTAGGTTAACACCTAGGCAGAAAGTGATCTGCCTAATTCAACCAGTGGTGCAGTTAAAGTTTATTGGGAGCTCAGCATGCGCGGCCCTGGGCCGGAGGTAATGCGGCCCACCCTTTGAGGGGTCCTTTGACAAGCTGTTGTCTTGCACTGGAAAGAGCCAGCTCTGACAGTGACTGTGGTTTTCCAAGGGGCGGGATTGGGATTAGTCCGCCAGGGGTCTCTAGGTCTTGGCAGTGCAGACTCCTTGCTGAGCACTGTCAGGCTCAGTGCAGGGATGTCGGAGAGACGGATTTCTCCTCTTGCCAGCACTGCCCAAGGGGAGCAGTGAAGCCGACGTCCTCTCGGGTGAGGAATGGCCCCAGGGAGCCCTGTCCAGAAACCGGGGGTTGTTGCAATCAGCCAAGATGTAAATTGTCCTAGGTGCGTGGGGAGGGCAGTACAGAAGACTGGTAGCATCCCTTTATTTCCAGCTGAGGTGTGACTGAGGGCGGATGCTGGCAGAAGCCTTGGCCTGACATTGTGGGGTTCTGTCTTCTCAGAGCAGTCGCAGCCTCTGGACCGGGCCCTGGAGCTGTGGCGCTCCCTGCTGGCTGGAGGGGCTGTTCCGGCAGTGCGCAGCACCAAGCAGACAGCCTCTGCCCTGCACCTCATGGCAGCCCTGTACAGGCTGATGGGCAAGGTATGTGCCCCTCTCTCCGAAGGCTGTTTCCCACCCTGCGAGACTTTCTCACTCTCCCCGAAGCTGCGTGTAGCTGGGTTGAATTGTCAGTCTGATGTTGATGGCGGTCCGTCTCATGCTTTCTCGTAGGTGCTGCCAGCTCTAGAGAGCTACCTCCTTGCAGCCCGGCTCTCGCGAGGACTGGGTGATTCCCGCAGCTCTGCCAGTGCCCTGTGCCACACGGCTAAGCTGTTGCTGGAGATCGGTGCCCCCAACCTGGCACAGGTAGCTCCCCCTCGCCGCAGAATCTGGGAAAACTTCATGTACTTAAACTTAAAACTGTTGAGTGAAAACAGAGGTTTGGTTTGGCAATTTCACAGATTTGTCATAGAACATTAACGTTGTCCCAATGCAAATCTGTGAAATTGCCAAATTCTCAGTTTTTACTCTGCGGCCCATCAGATACTGAAGTCTCTTATTTCTTTGTATCCTGTTGTAGCACTTGGTGTGGGGGATATTCTTTTCACCCAATGATTTAAGCTTGAGTTGTTTCCTTATCCGGCACTGTGGGCCTGCAGAGCGCCTTGACGTGTTTTTGTAGTTGAAACTTGAGTGGCGGCCGACGGATTTAGTGGGTCCTGTGTGTGTGTCTGGCTGCAGCCCCACCTGGAGGAGGCGGAGGCGTGTCTGTCGGCAGCGGACGCCAGCACCGAGGGCCTCTCTCTGCTCGACCTGCTGCGCCAGCTGCTGAGAAGCCAGCTGTGCTGCGCCACCGGTCAGGTGAGACAGTGTTGTGGAGGGGCTGGGGGTTAACTTTCCCAAAAACACGAGCTGTGTACGTGCATCAGGGGCTCCGGGTAGAGGCGGAGTTCCTACATCTGCTGGAAGACGCCAGGAGTTTTAAAGCTCATGTTTCAGCAATATATGAGAATGACTTCGACTTCATCGATGCTTTCATTACCTTAAATCAGTTTCGATCCGTGTGTTTAAACCTGCTTGGGAGCAGTGCTAAATTAGAGATGAAAGAGGTTCCAGGGTTGAAGCAAACTTAAAGGGAAACTGCAGTACTCTTTTCTTAAATTTCAAAGTTATAAAGAATCATTGAGTGCATTTCAAACCACAATCAAAGTACAAAGTACACAGTAATGTGTCGAATCTCAAGTTTACATCACAGGTATGCACAGCACCATATTGCTGTCATGGTCTGTGGTTCAGAACGAGGCAACAAAACCTCAGGTGATGTGAAATGGTTCTATTGCATTGTAAACAAGCCTGCTTGTGAATATGCCCCTTTTATTCCAATAGAAATATTGCTCATAAGACTGGATTCAATGCACATCTTAACATGTCTTAAGCATGAAAAGAATCACTTCAGTCATGAAAATAGAAAAAAATCTTATTTATCAAGAGTTAATGTCGCCTTCTCACTGCATTCTCTTTTTATCTGTTGCTTTATATGGGTGAAATTTGTACGAATCAAACCTTGTTTGAGCACACGTTTTGATTCAGTATCTGAAATGAAAATATTTTTCATTTTGCAAACTATTAGGTTTCATAATTCTATAAACTCCAAAGCAGGGAGAATTTCAATATACATCTACTATCCCAAATTGCCGATATTTAAAAATCAATCTATTTCTGTTGCAATAAAGTACATGCTTAAGACCAAGTTAATTCTGCTATTATATTAACTTATCTATAATGTTATGAAACAGACATATACAAGGTGACATGTTTTTAGATACTTTATCTAGACTGACGATTTGAATGAGCGAAATTGACTTGAATTGAATATTACTTACTTGTGAACTCTACAAGCAGATCAGAAATGTTCAATCGTGGGGTGAAATATCTGCTGCGCTACCAGTACTGATTGATTGTCCATCACACTGAATCTCACTGAGTTTCACTGAGAAACTTCATGTTGGGACCTACTGGCTAGGTGAAAATCCCATGGAAAAGGAAAGAGTTTGACTTTCTGCTGGTCTGATCCTGTTTTGTGTATAACCACCATGTTCTACACTGCCAAATGCTTGACAGTGTGGCATTGTGTATACATGAGTTAAAGTAAAAACATTATTAGGATTGTTTCCATTTTTGCTGACAGGGACTAGTGAGCAGGAAGGACCGCTTTGTTACAATTTTTTTGGTACTCTTGCTCCTTTGTAAATGAAACAATGAATTTTTGTTATCCGGATTTAAAACCCAGTGTGGGAAACTGGAACTTTGACTTTTTAACATTTGCATTTGAACCTTTATCATTTTGCACAAAAGAAAAAACTGTAAACATCCAGATAATTCTTGTCCTATTTAGAATAGTGCGCTTGATGTATTCCATCCTGAGCCAGTTTCAGGCCTCTAGGACGGGCCGGCTGTAAGAGCAGGCTCTGAGTGGAACTCGATTGCCTCCCTGCAGGTGGAGGAAGGCGTGTCTCACCTGACGCAGGTGTTGCAGGAGCTGGCAGAACAGAAACAGACCAAGAGCTGGTGCCTGTTGAGAGCCAGCGCCCTGCAGACTGTGGGCAGTTTCCTGAGCTTGCCCACCTCCACGCTGCCACCCCGCCTGCGGCAGAGAGTGACCGCGTATGGTATGTACCACAGGGCCTACTGGAACCGGAGCAGTCTGCCTGTTATCTAACCGCCACAGGGGAGCTGGCGCCGCGGCGGCCTGGAAAGCAACAGGCGCAAGGCAGGGTACCACCTGGACGGGAGGCCAGTCTGCTACAGGACAATCATAGACGCGCACACTCACACAAGGGCAAATTTTCCCAGAGGCCGATTAACCTACTTCAGATTGTGGGAGCAGACCAGAGCACCTGGAGGAACCCCACACAAGCACGGGGAGAATGGGTGAACTCCACGCATAGCACCCCAGATCTGGAATTGAGCCCAGGGCTGTCATGCTACGCCACCGTGCCACTCTTGCTTCACCGAGTCCGTTGTTGCATATTCCTTGTCCGTTGTTTTCCGGTTCTGTGATTATCAAAATATCATGTTGGGAAGACATGTCAGTGTGCAAGGGGTGCAGACAAGCAAACCCCGGCCTGGAGCTCTGGCTCTTAGCCCTCCATGTGTGTGTCGCTGTGCTCTCCAGGGTGGAAGTCCCCGGGCGTGGCCCTCAGCGAGAGCAGGAAGCTGCTGTGCAGTGTTGTGGTCACCCTGCTGGGGAACGGGGTGCTCGGGACCGACAAGCTCCAGACGAAGTCGCGCTTCGTGGACCAAGGTAAAACCTTCCCAGACGGGACTCTGTCAGAACAGACCTGCCCTCTTTAGCCGAGCTGTGCTGGCTCCTGTCCCCTCCCTGAGGGGGCAGAAGAGGAGAATTCCCCGCTGTTCACACAGGGAGGCAGGCCACGTTAACCAGTGTGTTCTGCCTTTCGATGTGTTGATGGACCATTGATCCTGTATTACAAGCTCACGATTCCATTAAGAGTGAGACTTTGGCCCGAGACGGATGACTGTGATGCTTATGGATACTCTGCGCCTCTCCCCGTCTTTCCCCCAACCCCAGGAGAGAACCTCCTGCAGAAGTGGCAGGTGCTGTCCGAGGTGCTGAGCTGCTCCCAGCGGCTGGTCTCTCTGAGCAGCCAGGCTGGAGCCACCTGTGAGGCCAAGGCCCTGTGTCTGGAGGCTCTTCGCCTGACCACCAAGCTGCAGACCCTCCGCCAGTGAGTCTCCAAGTCTCCACGGGGGAGGGAGAGAGAAAGGGTGGAAGGGGGAGGAGGTTGTGGGCATGACTGCAATGGTGAGATGAGTTGCTCGGCAGTTAAACGTTTTGAGGGCTTTCTTTCTGGAAACTGGAGATCAATTTTTTTTTTTAAAAAGAAAGGTGCTGCATTTTACAAACTGATCTCCACCCTCGTGTTTCTGTGTGGCCTGCTGTTCCCTGACTGCATCCCTGTCTCCCCGCGTGTGTGCGCAGGTGTGCTGAGTTCCTGGTGATGAAGGCGGAGCTGGAGCTGCAGAGGGGGGAGGCCGAGCCCAGTGGGATGGACCTGCAACAAGTCCGGGAGCTGCTGGAGCACTGCGCTGGTCAGCCTGGGCGGGGGGATGTTCTCTGGCACTTTAATGTCCGTTGGGTGCTCGCAGAGCATAGTGTGTTGTTTCATGATTTAAACTTTTAAAAAGGACAGATTAAGATGGGGGGTGATAGATTATTGTTAAGGTAAAATGAAGGTTTCTCATTGTGTTGCATAACTTTACGTTCGCTCTCCTCCAGATTTCAGCAGGAAGACGGTAAAGAAAGAGGTGAAGATCAAACCGAGGAAAGGTCGGAAGGTGAAGAAGCAGGACCCTGCAGTGCCCCCTTCTGGCCAGGACCCGGTACAGCGGCAGACTGGGGAGGAGCAGGAGGATGAAGCGCGGTTCCTGAGCCGGTGCCCCTTCCCCCGCGAGGCCATCGATGCCGTGCGCGAGTGGAGCCTGTCTTCGTCGCCGCCTCTCAGACCACGTGCCCAGGGCTTGCTGTCCTGTCTGGCCCACGGCTCTGACTGCGACTGCCCCTGCTGCTCCGACCCTGGGCTGGCCCGCGTGGTCGCGCGCTGGGCTGCCGCCCGGGCTGAGCTGTACCGCTCTGCGGAGGAGGAGGGGGACGGCGACGGCCGCAAGCTGCTGCTGGCTGGCCTGTCTCGCTGCAACAACCTGACCGCCAAGCTGGGGGCTGCCCTGGCTCGGCTGTGTTGTAGGGGCACGCAGAAGAAGCCCGCTTGTGCTCCGACTTATCTTCACGACTTAGTGGGCAGGATTTACCTGCGCCTGGCCTGCTCCAGCCTGGAATCGCGGGCTGAGAAGCCCACGGCCACTTGGGAACTCCTGGAGGCTGGCCTGAAGTTCCTGGCCTCTGCCAGCTCGCCTGAGCTGGAGCCCCTCCGTGCCGGCCTGCTTGCCACCAAAGCGTTGGCCTCAATTTGTGCCCTGGCTGCCCAGAGGGACTGCCGCCCAGAGGAACTCTTCACCCCAGCCTGGGCCTGGACCCCACCAGCTGAGGGGGAAGTCCAAAGCCAGCCCATGCCCGTCGAGAAGGCTAAAGGGAAGAGCAACGTCGTTTTGGCTCCACCCAAAACCAGAAAGACCTTGCATTCTGCCAAAAAGACACCTGCCTCTAAAAAACCTGTGGTCCCAAGCTTCAAGACTCCTACGCCTGGAGAGCCGTACTCCTTCGACGAGATAGACGGCGAGCTTCCACACATCTCCATCAAGCCCGCCTCGCCCCCAGCTCTGGGCACCCCAGTTCAAACGCACCGTCCCAGGGCAGGAGCTTCTCGTGGTTCGGCCAGGCCCGGACTCAAGGCCCAGCAGCAGTTCAAGGTGTTCGTGGAGTCTTCACCCGTGCAGGACGAGGCGACGCCAGTGCCCGCCGCTCCCAGACGCAACAAAAAGTCACGCTTTAAGGTGAGGAGGGTTAGGAGAGCGGGAAGCATTGTGGGATCTGTCCGCAGATTTTGCTGCTGAGGTTTCTGCCGGTTTTCTGTTGGCGTTGAAAAGCACAGAGGCAGACCTGTCTTTGAAGTGGCGATCCTGCATCGTGTCGCTGTGGTCGAAGTGGTGCTGCTCCTGGCAAACCCACAGTCTCTGCAGCTTCCCAGCCATTTGCAGGCACCTTCTCGAGCTGGAGCTGAATCTCCTGATTGTCGCCGCAGAGCCTGGCTGAGAACAGCTCAGGGTGTCCTGGCAACCGGGGAATTGCCTGTGCTATTGCTTTATGACGGGATTTGACATGGGCTTGGCGATCAAACTTTTTGTAGATGTGCACAGCATGATTTTGGTCATGTTATCAAAAAATTAATTTTCTAAAATTGTTTTTCTCCCTCTGCTTTCCAGGTGGTTTTCAGTGATGAAAGTGATACAGAAGCAGCCGAAGAGGTGCAGGAAGTGAAGCAGGATGTTCTCGCCAGCAAGAAGCCAAGAGAGAAACGGGGTGCCAAAGAGCCCCACCAAGATGGGAAAGCAAAACAGCTCCCTCACACTGACAAACCGGGCAAGAAGAGAGCGGGCCGGGTACCGGCCTCAAAAACGCCTTCTACCGCCCTGCCTCCATCCTCCCCCTCCTCTGAGGACTCGGTCAAGGCTGTACCTGCCACCAGGAGGGAGACTAGAGCAAGAAAGGGCACTCGTTCTGGCGCCGCCCTACTGGCCAGAAGGATGGTGGACTCGACAGGAATTCCTGAGCCTGAACAGATGAGGACCATTGAGGAAGAAGAAGAGGAGGAGCTGCTGGAGTTAGAGATGAGTCTGGAGCAGCTCAGAGCGTCCGACACAGAGGAGCAGGAAACATCTGGTGAGGAAGTGAGAAAGAGATGGAAAATAGAGGGGCCAAGTGGGCATATAAAAAATAAACAATAAGGTTTCTGCAATGTTACTACATATGACATTACTCCAATAAACTTGCAAGTGTTTTTTAATGAACTTCAGCATTCCAAAGCTTAAGATGTATATTGATGATGGTATACTTTTATCTTATCTATCCATCCATTTCGTAACCACGCCGTAGACACAAACTCAAGACGCACACGCTCACGTCAGGGCCAATTGTCCCAGAACCAAGTAACCCTGGACTGTTAGAGGAAACCCATATGAACATGGGGAGAACATGCAAACTCCACTCAAACAGCACCCCAGGAACTTGGCCCAGGGCTACAGCACTGCGAGGCAGCGTTGCTAACCACTGCGCCACTGTGCCGTACAGATGTTTTCTAAAACCTTCGATTCTGTTTTTTCAACAGGAAGGCGGCAAGGTTGGCATCCAGGCCTCCCAGACGGAGATCGTGAGGTCCTGAGACGGGATCTGGGAGCCGAGAGGGACAGGGATGGGCTGTGCGAGGCCACCAGAGGGGTGACCCCCGGTACCTCATTCCCCAGCATTAACCCAGGTAAGGTGGTGGGGGTGTTGGTGGCGCCAAACTTGGCGATGCCATCTAGTTCACTCTGTTCCAGACCTGCCACAGTACATGTCTGCGTACCCCAGCAAGCTGACAGGTAGTGCTGGACTGTATGAGACCTGATACATGGTAATTCATTCATTTCAAGATGGGAAACCTTGTCATTTGTTGATCAATTAAGCAGGCACCTTGCACAATTACAGAAACCACAGTACTTGAGGAGTTAGAAGGGTGCAAGTGTAAAATTGTTGTTTCTGTTGTATTTATTTGGGCAGCACTGGGGAAGATTCCAGTCCACTTTATTGACATGGCAATAAAGCGTTGAATTCCTGAATCCAGTTCTAGTAATCAAAATATTGTGCTTAACTGATCAATGTTTGAACTGAATAGAGGAACTTTTTCCTGCAATCTGAACGTTTTTTAATGGTGGTCTTAATGGAGGCTGGACTGGGCCTCTCCAGAACCAGGGATGGAGACCCCTGCATTAAACCCAGGACCCAGATGGCAGTACAGTGGTTCCTAGTACAAAAGCTGTCAGTGAAAGAGCCTTCTATATTACTGAGATTTGACGGGCTGCTCTCGGCTATCACTGTAGACAAAGTTAAAAATTCCTCCCCAGTTGTAAAGATTTTGTAACGTTGTGGACTTGAATGCAATGCAGTGTCCGAGCTGGCAGATCCGAAGCTGGCGTCTTCTAGCGACCGCAGTCTCTCTGTCTGTCCCCGCAGAGGGTCTCTCCATGGCCGCGGTGCAGGCTCTCCTGCGCGCCACGCTCCTGTCCGTGCAGCACTGCCCCCCGGCTGCCCTCTACGCCCGCGTGTGCCACCTGCTGGCCCTGTGCCACGGCGACGCCCTGCCTCTGGCCACCGCATTCCTGCACGCCGAGTCTCTGGCCATCACCGCGAGGCACAGCATGGGCCGGCACCTGTACAGCCGCCAGCGGTACATATCCCTCTCCTCCTCCTCCTCCTCCTCCTCTCTTCCTCTTCTATTCCAGCTTGTTTTTTGTGGTGTTCTCCCTCCGTCGTTGCGCTCCTGATCTTTGCCTCTTTGCCGCCGTCTCTCTGGGCTCCGTGGCCACAGGAAGTTGAAGAAGGCGTCGGGGCCTGACCTGGCCGAGCGGCTGCAGGAGCTCTGCCTGGGGGAGCAGCCAGGAGACCCCTCCCTGGAGCGCCTCGCCCACCTGGAGCACATCTTCCAGTTCCCCTGTCTCGAGCCCGGAGCCTTCCCCCAGGGCCACTGCCAGAGGTTTCAGGAGCAGCTGCAGCGCATCCCTCCTGGTAAAACAAGCTCCTTCCCTTTCCCCAGCCTCCCGTCTGTTAGACGCCTCTGGTGAATCAAGCTGGAGATTTCTTTGTTGCAGTAAAGAAAGGAGGACAGACGATGTTAAGAGGTTAATACTGTCATAGGTTCCTCATATCCATCTTTTTTTTTTTAACCTTTCGAGCTCCTTTTCTCTCCCTCTTTATGATCTTAGTTTGGCCTGGGTTGATGATGGCTTCCTGCCTAAAAATAAAGAATGGGGTTTTTTTCCAGTGGCATGTAACTCCAGCTTCCCTACAGCAGCGCAAGCCTTTTACCCTCTGCTCCTCTCTGCGCAGGAGTGACGGTGTGCCTGCTGTCGCTGGCC